TTGAATCACATAAACTGACATTGCAGTGAAAATGGCTTATGATATAAAAAAAAAAAAAAGTGCTATAAGATCTTCTTTTATTTTTACATGTATATCTTCTAATGGATATTTTTAAAGATACAAATCCAAAATCAAGGAACCTGCAGCTACAGTGGGGTTTGGGATGTGGGATGACTTCTGTGCAACTCAGTACTAGATGTAGTGCTAAGTGTCAGTACAGTCAGAGGAAACTGTACTGTGTGTGACTGTCATGGAGGGAATGCTTGAAGAAAATATGCTTTTTAACATCTTAATATATCAGTATCTTTGAAAGATGACGATTCAGTGGTTCTTAAAGATACTATCTGTACCCTTATGTACGTTTAGGGGACAGAATGCATTATGTTCCAAGTAGTGTATGTGGTACCTGCAGAAGAGACCTGGAAGAGCTTGATTAAGCATGTCTTAATTAGCAGCGACGGTGGTGTTCCTCACTACAGCCCCCCACGGGGACGGTGCCTCAGCGCCCGCCAGGGCTGGGGCTCTCCTCAGGTGGCCCACCCCCTGCGCGCCCTCCTCGAGCCCCGGGGGGGGGGGGCGAGGGGCCATTAGTTAACCCTCACACGCACTCATACACAGTCAGTCACTCAACCTCAGCACACTCGCAACCCCGGCCCCTTCTTTCCGCTCTGAGGGCTTCGTGCTCCCGGGGGCAGAGCCGTCCCGGGGGGCTGGCCGCCCGCCTGCCCTCCGCGCGCCGCCGGGGCCTTGCGTCAGTGCGGGGAGGCGGCTCCGTGAGGTGCAGGAACTTTTGAAGGGAGAGGAGGGGAGGACGCGGGGCGGCGGCAGGGGAAAGGCGCAGCACCCGCCCCAGCTCCTCTTCCTCGGAGCCAGCCGTCGGCCGCGGGAGGGGGATGCGCGGCCGGGCCCGCGGGTGAGTGAGGGAACGAGCGGCCGGAGGCCTCCCGCCGGGCAGGGCAGGGCAGCGGCTGGGCCGGGGGCATCCCGCTGCTGGGGCTCCCCGAGACTGAGGCAGGCGGCCGGGAGCCAGAGGGGGCTGAGAGGGTGGCGGCCGGGGATGGGGGGGGCTCGGGGCGGTGCGAGGCGGCAGCGCCGGCTGAGAGAGAGCTCAGCCCCGCTGGCCCGGGGCAGCCCGCCCGCTGCGCCTCGGTGCCTGCCGGGGCTGCCGAGCACGGCTGCCCGGCTCCTGCCCCGATTTCCCGGCTCCTGCCTCGGCTTCCCGGGTGCTGTCCCGGGTGCCCGGCCCCGGTGGGCGCCGCGCTGTCGCTGCCCGTGTCCCCCGGTCCCCAAGGGGCGAGGAGCAGCGGTCCCGAACCCACGGATGCTCCAGTGCTCCGCCGCTCCGTCGGGGGGCTGCGCAGCCGGGTTGAGCGTGTGGCTGGGCGTCTGGTCACGGAGGTCCGGACAGGTTTGGGCTGTGTGAAGCCACAAAAAAATCTGTTCGCTTGGTAGAGCGTGTTCGTGTAACGGTAACTGCGCTTGCCTGCGTTTTCTATTTTAAAGCACGTGTGTTTGTTCCCTGCTGGTGTTGTCAGAAGTCAATCTGTGATTGTTACCGTACTTAGTACAAGATGGCTTAATTATCTTTGAAGTCATCGTGGCTTTATAGTTTATAAATACCCAAAGATAATAAGTACGATAGGGAAGTAATGCGTAATCTCCTAAAAGTTGTTACTGGGTTAACAGTGCTCACAGTGCACAAGAGGATCTTTGTTATGTGGGTGTGGGGGATCCAAGTAACAATGTCATCTACCTGAAGAGTCACTGATGCTGTGCCTGTTACTGGGAGCCTTCAGTAGAAACAGCCAAGTAGTGAATAGAAAAAATAGTATGGATGTCTGGAGAGCATATCGTGCTATTTGGAACACTTTTTTTTTTTTTTAATAAAGTTCCCTCCTAGGAAAAATTATAACTGAATTATAATTCAGTTTTACTTAAAAGGAAGTTATATAATAGGGAAAAGATTCCCCTATGAAAATAAGCTTCCCCTTGATAAATATTTAGTTTTGGCACAGAGTTCACCAGTGTAAGGAAAGCAACAGGGGAGAACCCATCTGAATGGTAATTCAGTGCACTAAGAAGTCTGGGAGCAGAAAAGTTGGTTACCTGCAAATAAAAATACTTTAGCCCTAGCTTGTGCAGGTAAACCAGCACAACCATAAGCTTCAAGAGTCAAATTTAGCGCTGGGGGTTTGATTATGTATTTTCTCTTAAACTTTTGACTTTCTGGGGAAAAAAAATGGGGAAGTATAAAACTACAAGGAAACACAACATGTTGTTAGATTACAGCGTAAATGATGATTCCAGCCTTCCCCTGAGAGCTTTGTTTGATTGCCAACAGGAATTCTCTTAATCCATGTATAAAATAATTTTATTCTCTTACAAACAAAATTTAACAGGTTCAAATGGTGGCTGGCAGCTTCAGTGAAAAAGGAATGCTACAACTGAACCCAGGATGTATGGGAGTGACTCAAGAGTTAAGAGAACAGCAGCAGGGCTGAATCCATTTAACTGGCAAAGTGGTTTTAATTGGGTTGGTTGCTAGGGAATGGATCCACCACCATGTATTTCAATGGCTTTAAACACTGGACAAATGGCACACCTAAGTCTGCTTCAATAATACACCTGGTATTGGCTCCAGCTGTATTTAGAGCAGGTGTGCGTTGCTTTTTGCTAACCTGTTTACCCTTACTGTGCAGTTCCACTTCGTGGCTTGCATGCTGTTACCCTATTCTGTTGTGGCTGCTGGACAAGTTGGATTTGCCATACCAATTTTGTATTTAGTGCTTTGCAATATGTTTATTTAAAAAAAAAAATCAGTTCATGTAATCATAGCTAAAAACAACTTTCTAGAAATAGTCTCACAGCAGGATTAATTTGTGTGTTTGATACAAGAATTAATTTGGTATGTTTGGACTTCTGTCACAGCAAGAGTCGGGTGCTACTCTTTAGTGTATTGGCATAACTTAATTATTTGACTTCAATGAAGTTATGCTAGCTTTAGGCAGGCGACATTTGTGCTGGTGACCAGCATTAGCAAGGTTTGGAGCACCAGTGTATTCAGACTACAGTCAGTTACGAGTTTGACACAGTGCCTGTTACATCTGGGCCAAACAATACTAATCAATAGCATGATTAAAAAAGACCATCTGGGGGTCGAAGTGACACGAGTCATCCCTGTGCTTCCTGCCTGTGCTGCAGTGGACCTGATGATAATTAGTGGGGGCAGCGTTAAAAAGAAGTTATCTTTCCTTGGTGGAAATGCTGCTTGGGAACAGAACGTGTCTCCATACTTTTATAAATAGAATAAGTGCACTAAGATCTGGCTTTCTCTCTTCAACATTTATAATGTGACTTAGTGCATTGTTACATGTCACCATGCAGGAGGACTGAGCGTGGCTCTCTTTGTATTCCCCATACTGGCAGGAGTTAAGAGCAAAAAGAGGTAGCTGTATCTAAATCAGGCTACGAAGGGAGGCAGGGACTTGTTAAACTCAACCGTAAAGTACAGAAAATAAGAGGACCAGCCTTTCTATACAGCAACCTGCTAGGAGGTTTAATAGGCTTAACAAAGTTGAGCTAGGTGCCCCAGCTGAAGAATGTTTCATGAATATCTGATAGCACTTGCTTAAATATAAAACAGGAGTGGCCAGACTTGTCAAGTTCATATGTGTAATCTGGGAGAAAACAAGAGGCATACCTAATTCTCACGAGAACCACTACAGATTAAGCGTCCTTAATATTGGAGGATGGCCTGCAGAGGCACATAAAGCAGCGGGCCATCTGTGCCACTCAGAACAAAATGCATCACTGGCGAGGGTGCTATATTAAAAGCGAAGGCAGATTGGGCCATTGCTGCCGAACTCTTCTAGCTACCGTTGAGTCACAGTTTAGCTTGTTGACAGAAACGGGGAAAGAGTTGTTAATGGGCTTTACGTCATATTTCCTTCCCTGAAGTTCACCAAAGACAAGGGGTTAAAACCCATCAATCTATATTTGACCACTGGCAGTCCACGTGAGAGGCTCTTCTGTTGCTATTCTGAGAACTATCTAAAGCTGGCTTTTAGGTTTTGCATCAAATATGCTGTTATAGTGGCATGTCTGTCTTTTATGAATACACATTTTGAGAAATAGGTTATTTTCTAAAATTGCTTTAATTTTCTTACCTAGTTATTGGTGTGAGTTTTGCACATAATTACATGCTTTGAGTTGATTTCTGGCAGTAGTTACCCTGATAATAATAGGGACATAAAGCATTTTCAACATAACGTTGAAAATTTTTCATTGAGGTGGGGGCTGAGGGAAAACAGCTTTGGGAGAAGATGCCTGCTGTACTTAATTCTCTCTTCCATTCACAGTATCCTCTCAGATACAACCGATTCCTTTAGCCATAAATGTACATGTATGGATAAAAGCTGTGGAATAGCAGTTTATGTACATCTCCGAATGTGTTAAGTATTTCCCAGATAGATAAGCAGCTCTCTGAGCTGGGGACAACTTCTATTTTTAAATACAATGGAGTGAGTGAGGGTCAATAAACTATGAGGAAAAGACAGGCTGAGGGGAGAGAGACCATAGGGTTACTGCCATGCATTTGTTTAAAAGAAGTGAGAAGAATGTGAGGAAGACTTACATGCACAACACTCTTCATGAATGCAGTTAAGAACAGATATAGCACAAATAGACAGCCTTCTAAATGCTGCAAGAAAAGGCAGCGAATGCTATTATTCAGAGATGCAATTGGCTAGTGTAGAACAGGAGAAAAAAAATTAAACTTTAGACCTTCAGAAAAATATTTAAATATTTGTAATAAAAGTGTCTATATTTTCTGTTCTTTTTTTTTTTTTTTTTTTTTTTTTTTTTTTTTTTTTTGAACAGAAGCACATATGGAATCATTTCTGAAGAGCAGAAACTATTTCTCTACCCCTTCCCCCAAAAAGCTGGTGTCCAGGAATATATGCCTGCTAAACTAACTATTTTTTCCTTGCCTTTTGAAACAGATCCAGGTTTGCCTCTCAGACTGCTTTTGACTGCACCACTGCACCAGACAGTAGCAACACATTGAATCTGACATGATTCTTCCTGGTTGTACTGCTGCAGATGGAATTCTGAGTATGGAGAATGAAAACTGATAGGACTTGTTGGTGTTCCTTCTGATATTGCCTGGCAAATCTCTGATCAGCAGCAAAGGTACTAAAACTGTATTTGTAAATTTAGGAAGCTGGCCTTTTCTCTCTTCCTGCTCACTGGATTAAGTGATAGGACATGTAAAATCAGTTTTTAGTTTTTATGAAGAAAATTAATTTCACCTGCCTATGAAACTCAAGGGAGAGACCAGTAAGGAAGAAGGATTTTTCTTTTTTGTTCAAAAACCTATTAGTGTACGTTTCTGGAAAGCAGCCTTAGTACATATTGCATCATGCTATAGCTAGATATCTGTTGACTTATATGAAAATTAAATACATATTTCTTAAATAAGCATAGAAGCTGAGTATAATTTTTCACACCAGTGGTTTTGCTATTGCATGAGAACTTTCTTAATCAAAGTTTATCTCAAAGAACAGACACTGACAGAGATGAAGTAATAATGTGGTTATGAAATAATCTGCTGGAGGAAAAACTGTTTTCCCAAGTGGCTATAGGAACAGAATAGCCAATGTATTTCTTTGGGTAAAGCACGCTTTGCTAAATTCTTTCTACTCAGGCATTTCTAGTCTTTACAAAGAGCAGATAGTCTCCCTTGTGTCATTTTTAATTGATTTTTTTTTTCACTACATTACAAGAGATCATTGGCATCAGTCCAGGAAATGGCAAGCAGCAAGTAGGGAATCCATCAAAAACTGGCTCATTGATCACTGGGTCTGATGAAATAATTAGTATTTGATATTTTCTGTACGGCCTCATACTGGTATTTTGACTTCAGAAAGTGAGAGAAAATCCCTTTATGCCAGAAGACAGACCACTGAGCAGAATTATAATTTCAAAAATGCTTCAGCGTACTTAGTCATTTTTAGGAATCTGCTTGTAGGAATGGCTAGCAGTTGCTTTGTTTCAGACTCACCAAAAGGAGCAGTACCCTTTATTCATGCTCTGTTCAGCAAACAAGTCAATTTTCGGGGCATTGTATTTATGACGGAGGGAAGTCAGGCAGTGCAAAACATTTCAGTGCATCTGTTCCCAAGCACTTGTGGTAGTAGACCTTCAAATGTACTCAATACTTAAAATCCTCAAAAAAGAATCTTGGGAACCAACAAAAATGTTGAAAGGATATCATATTATCATCAAAGCTGTAGTAGACTTCAATCAGCATCACACAATAGTTTCAAGTTCTGCACGCTAATGAAATCTGTAAGATGAAACAGTGTATAACAAGTCTTATATCTGAGGATCCTTTGTGAGTTTGCAAATACGTTGTTAACTCAGTAAATTTTACCACAGTCCTGTTTAAAAATGTGGATAATGTGTTTACCTCTTCAGCAGGTGCATTTTTGATACAGTAAACAAAAATGTCATTGCAAAGCATCCCAGAACCTTAAAGAAGATTGCTTTTTGTGTGTCAAAGCAAGAGTTAAGAGTTGATGCCCTGCTAAATCCTTAAATTGCTGCCAAATTTGAGTATAGAGTGAAAACTTCCTTGTGTATGTAGGTAACAGCTTATCAACTGTGAATTTTTCAAGTTTCTGTTTCTGGTTGGCACTAGAAAAATATGTAGTTCCTTTGTTTTATTTATTTGTTTATTTATTTATTTATTTTTTTAGGAGTTGGATTATTTTAGGCAAATAACCTTTTACTTCTTTGGAGAGAACCTTGCTGTTCCTTTGGGGAGGGGATGTGGAAGGAAAAGTATAAGTGAATACGTTTCCCTCTCCCTTACAGGAGACCTGCAAACAAAAAAGAAGAAGAAGACATTAACCTACCTTGTTCAGAGGGAACACTAAATCAGAACAATATGGCACAGCATAGTCTTGTCCTTGGATTATTCATGATGACTGTTTTGTCACTGTTGGATGGAAGTTCAGCTTTCCTGTTAAATCAGCGTCTGAAGGGAAGATTTCAAAGAGACCGTAGAAACATCCGCCCAAACATCATCCTCGTTCTTACTGATGATCAGGATGTAGAACTTGGTAAGAGCCCAACATAAAGAGAATTTTGGTTAATGAGTATGGCACTTCTTTTCCTTGAAGCTAGATACTTGTTTTAAAAATAATGATTATTTTTTTTTCATTGCAAAAAATAGAATAGAATAAGTAGCAAGAACCTACCTATATGCAGGTTTCCAGCTGCATGCAATTGAAAGACAGCAAAAAGTAGTCTCCATTTAAAATGTCAAACTTCCTGTTTCTGTGGAAATATGAGATTCCTGCCTATCTATCTTCATCTGTATGTCTTAACTGTGCTTCTGGCAATTGCAAGTATAACCTGGGAAGCTACATGCCTAAGTGGTAGGTTTAAATTCATAACTGATTATTGTACTATGTAATTACCCAAATTTCTTGTGTAATTGCAGACATTCATTACATAGACAATTTTAATTTTAATTACTTAAATCTTACTTAACATATTCATACTACTCTCAGTATTGTCCATTTAGATGTGTAGTTAATTACTGACCAAAATCACTTAGTATGAAAAGGTTCTATGGTTCTATTCAATGCTACGTTAATTGTTGAAGAATGGAGATGAAGATTAAACACACTTTGCCTAATGATTTGGAATAATGAATTAACTGACAGAGATTGGGTTTTGTTCTATTTCCTGAACAAGCTTACATGTATATTTACAAATGTTGTCTGTAGTTAGAATTGATGAACACAAACCAGTTTATATTAGGAATTTTGCATTAAAAATGTGCTTTTAAAGTCAATATAAAGCCTGGATCATTTGAAAGATGAGAGCTGCTGTATGTATGGTCTGGCAGGTTTGTTTGACGAGCTACTATGCCAAATTTCTAGTATGGATGGGAAAAATTGGAAAACAGACCTGAAAGAAGAAATAAAACACAATAGTAAAGTTAATTGACTTATATTACCTCTACACTTCTCTAGCTGAGAAGTTAATTACAGCAACGTGGCGGTATTCTTATAGATGCTTCCTTTTTATTAGTATTTCTGCATGTCTGTGATAGTCTAGATGTCATATATTTCTCAAAGGTGGCTGAGAAGCCTGCTATAGCAGTAAACTCACCAAATAAAAATTTAATTGAAATGAGTAGGATCAGAAGATTTTTCTTTTTGGTTGTCACCTCTTTTTTTCTTTTGGAGAATGGTTATTCTAATCACAAATAAAGGAGTTTTAATAATGTATATCCAAAATAACCTAAGTACATTATCTTGCATGCTCAGAAGGTGGTCCTAAAAAATTTATCATCTTCTATTTTATGCTAGTCTGCTTGTTTCTGATGCAATTGTCTAAGTTCTTTGGGCAGTATGTTTCTCTTCTCTGATAATCTGATGCTTTTCAATTTCAAGCATAATGGGCATGTGTCTACACAAATTAGGATCTAACTAAGGAAAATCCATCTGATGAAGCTGAGATTTGATATTTGTCATTTGCCACTAATGGCTTGGCAAGACCCAATATTTGTTTGAATTAATTTTTATTCTTGTGTATTGTCTGGTGAGCTGTCCAAGTTAATCAAAATTGCCATTTGTGGGGATTGTGGTTAATGCATTTAAGAAAGATGAAAACAAGATGTGAATCACCAATAAAAGCTAAGGAAAACTTGGAAGCAATGAAAGTGTAGCAAAGGAAGCTGTGCATAACAAAGATTGCAACTGCTTCTAAGAATGTTCTGTAACTGATGGGTGTTGGAACTTTTGTTTTTCCATTGTGGCAACTTTTGAGACAAAAAGGAAGACAACTAAATCTCAACAGCCTTTCTTCATTTAATGTAAGATAGATTTAACAATATGACAGGAGTAAGTGGAGTTTACCAGAAGGAGATGTTCTCTCAGCAAATGAGTTCAACTTCTTTTACTATTTTTTATTTTCACTGCTTCTAATCACGAGTTTTACTTTGGAAACCAAACCCTAGTTTTGTATTGAATAAAAGGAAAAGACTGGTAGGGGACTGATGAAAAGGATACAGAATCTCCAGGTCAAAGAAGAACAGGCATAAATTGTAATGGATACAGATGGAAGACGACAAATGAGAACACCAAGAACTACTGAAACATGCACACTCAGTTGACTGTCTTTTTAATCAAGAGTTGTACTGACAACCTGAATATAAATAAGAGGAATACACTGATGAGGAGAAAGAATTAATTGGAACCAAAGACTTTTTCCCCCATTAGAGCCATGTAATTCCATGTTAGTCTAATGCTGATGTCTGCTGTGTGATGGCCTCAGCATCTTCAGCTCCTTAGGTGTGCCTACTGCATTGCTGTGCTTTAAGAAATCAGCTTAGTTCATTATCTCGTAGTTGGAGAAAAATCTGATTATTTAGAAAACATTTCAGCCTCATTAAATCTGAGTGAGAGGTGATTCATATGTTACTACACGTTCCAATGTTTGAAAACACTAAGGTGTCACAACAGTAATGTTTTTTAGTTATCATACACAGGGATTAGTGTCCTAGTTTTGTCAAAATTGAAGATGAGCAAAGAAAGGAAATGAAGATGTGAAAAGGTTGTCTAATGAGGTTCAAATAGAGGGCTTTAGGGGACAGTACATTCTGGGTTCCAGTGAACTTACCTGCATATAGATGATACTTCTCAAATTGGGCTTCAGAGTTGACTAAGTCATTTGGGACTTAATAACAGCTCTTAAACTTGGTGGACCTCCCTAAAACTCACGTAAATTATGACTTCTGACAACAAAGTACAAATGGGAAAGTCAATAATATTTCATGAACAACTGTTAAATTAATTAAGGACTTTTTAAGCTAGTTTTTATTGCAGTCTTATTGAGCAGATAATAAAGCATCCTCATAGTTGTACAAGTCGTTATATGCCAGTAAAGGTTTTTCATAATTCTTTTTCCAATATTGCATACATTTGGAGAACTGAATATAGTTAAACATTTTGCTCTGTTAGATAATCTTATCTTTGTAGCATTAGTAAATGTACTCAGTTCTCCAGTACTATAGTGTAGAATGTTTTCTAATGTATTAAAAAGTGAAGTTATGTTCAGTATCATATCTACTGCAAAATGTGAGCAAGATAAGCTGCTTCACATTGCTAACACTGATGATCCAATTGAATGTGTCTCTAGCTAATAGAGAATATACGAAAAATAGTATGCAGTATTGTACATTTTTAAAATCACAATGAATGTGTGTATAAAATCCCATGCATTTTGTCTTTAAAACATTTTTGTATGTTCAAATAAGAATGTTTCTGTGTGAATCAGAATCCATCCTTGAATCCAGAAATCATATTTTCAAAACAACGAAAATAAATTTTCAAAATAAAAAATAAAAATAATCAAAATAATAATAATAATTAAAAAAAATAACCTGTAGGTCTAGAAATATGGACCTTTGGATATGTTTTTAACTGCCTCATGTGTGTGAGCTTCTCCGCAGTGTCAAGACCTCATTAAAAATACATGGAGTTTTACTTATTTTTTCTATTAACATTAGTCAAAATATAAGCCTTATCTTTAAAGCGAACTGTGAAAAGGCACTGAACAAAGTTTTGGACACCACACAAGTTTCAAGTGGAATTTCCACCTTGACCTTGCTTTGCTTTGTTAGGTGAGCAGCTTGAGTGCATCAAATTGATTAAATGCATATTTGCACAGTACTTCCATAGACTTTTTGCGTTTTGAAAGTAGCATAGACACTTCACATTTAGCTCTGAATCATTTTTATTTATCATCAGTGATTTTAGACAGGTAACAGACTATTTTCTGAATAAAATATTGATACTTCAAAGCATGACTTCTCATGGTACATCAGCTAATGAAACCCCAAAACATTTTCCAACTCAAAATATGATTTGGTGAGGTTCCAGCTGCTGATTAATACACAACTACTATTCTGCTACAGAAAGATCAATTTGCACTTTTTTTTTTTTTTTTCACAATTCTGTGTTTGTATTGGAGGCAGGCTGAAGAAAATAAGTTTTGGTTGGCTGGTTTAATGCTGTTTGAAATATTTAAAGCTGGCCTATTTAAGATTGCACGGAAGAGTATGCTAGATTTTTACCTTCCGCTGATCTGTCACTCTGTATTAGTTCTCAAGCTGGGGAAGCAGATAAGATCATACATATGTTTTTGTATTAAAGACTGTTGATATATAGATCCTTGTCATTACAACAGTTTTATTAAAGAAGGTTACTGTCCCCAAGGGGAGTCTTAACATGTACTGTTATTTATGCCCAGATGCCTCTGTCGTTTAAAGGAGTTGTTAGATTGTATTTTAATATTGAAATGACAAAACATTATTTTGGTCTGACTAGTTATTTTGGGGCTAGCTCATAAGATGACACAGAGGAAACATCCACAGTTCTCAGCCTCACATAATAGATTGACTGTTACAATCATCAGTGGTGTTAGCACTTTTGAAGAAAGGGAGGTTGCTCCCAAAACACGTTTTCTTATCCCACAGTTTTGGAAACAAACAAAAAAAAACATTTTGTTTAGAAACTTTCTTTTGATATGTGAAATTTAACAAGTTCGAAAGGGAGAATGAAATAACCTGCCTTGGTTCTTGTACCAAAGTGATGTGACAGGGATGTACTCTGATCTGAATGTGCAAACAGGTTTCATTTATTTCTTTATAATATTCATTTCAGCAAAATGATCTTAAGAAAACTAATGCCATGGCAATTTCAAGATAAAATGACCTGCCATAGCTATTGACCTTCCTTCATGGTGCCAGAGAGTCAGATTCCATATGTGGCTTATGACCATTTTCCCTCTAGGTTTTGACTCCTGGTTATATCAATGTGCCCTGTATCAAATCGACTTACTGTTGCAATTTTATAATGAAAGCCCTGCCTAAAGAGCTTAGAAGAAACCTAAACCCATTATTGACAGAAACAACATACAGTTTGTGCCAGATGGTTGCAGGATGCATTGATTAAAGCTGAACTATTAATCCAACTCAACCTTGGGTAAGTTAGCCCCAATGCTGTTCCAGCAGGAGCCCATACCTTCATCTCCATGTTGTCTGCTGGCTTTCTCTGCTCATAAAAAGAAGGGAGGGTTGGTGTTGGAAAGGTTTGCTCTCCTTTGCAGGGTCACACTGTGACAGGTATCTTTATAAGTTCTTTAGAAAATGGAAATTCTTCCTAGATCGAGTACGCTGATGCAGTTTTAACTGACAGACACTGATGGGTAAGGAGCATGGAAAGCCTTTTTTCTTCTGATCCTTCGTATTTCTGTGCATAAGGAGAATTCTGATATGGATCAAGATTTAACTAGGTGTATGTCTGTGGTAAAGATGCATTGTTTGCCCAAAGTCTCGCCTTAAAAAGGAAACAGAACAGCCATTTGGCAGCAGTGTGGCTTTTACTAACAGCTGACAAAAGGACTTTGACTCCCATTACCCCAATTCATCCAAGTCTCTGCCAGCTAAACTTGCTATTTGTTTTTAGATGATGGTTATTACTTGTCCCAAGTGGTCATCTAAAATCTGATTCTGCAGAATCAAACGTAAGAAAACTTAGAGTTTTAGGTGACAGCATTATCAGAATGGGTTAGGTGGATAGACAGAACACAATGGGCTGGTGATGGAAATTCTGATGAGGGTTTTGCTCTGTCATTGCTTCTTTCAGAAACCAATACCAGCTAATATGACATATCAAGGGAAATAACTTTATATCCAGAGAACAAGTCTAGTAGACCCTGCTTGAACAGCAGGTTTAAACTAAATAATCTGCAGCTGTCTTCCAGCCTCAACGGTTCTGTGATTACACCCTCAGCCAAAAGGGTTCTTCTGCAAAAGCAGAAGGTTGGCACAAAAAGCAGTGCATCAGGTGCCTTCAGAAACCAAGGATTAAATAATGCTTAAGGAATATGCAAACTTTGGTCAGGGTTGCTACACAAAGTTAATTTCACCCTCAGGCCGTGTTGTCTCAGCCTAATTCATGCTGCTTCTCGCCTTCAGCTACTGGAACAGTACTAGTGGCTCCAGAAAGGCTGCGCAGATGCTCTTGGATACAGTGGGAAATCTTGAGCTTGGAAAGAAATTCAAAAAGCATTATGATTTATGTCAACAAGTTCGAGTTCAGTCTTAAGTTACGACTTCAGTATTTGGTCCTTCTTGAAACAATGGGAGAACTTCACAAGTGGGGAGAAAGTAATGTCTTTGGATTTGGATTCCCTGTGAGCTTACAGTGCCATTACTGCAAGTGGTTCTTTCTGGTCTCTGATGTAACACGCGAGGTCTTAGTTAGCTCTTGTGACTTAAGACGAGAGAATATTTCTGAGATTCTTTTCTTTTTCCAGGGTCTATGCAAGTGATGAATAAAACAAGGCGGATCATGGAACATGGAGGTGCTCATTTCATCAATGCCTTCGTGACAACACCCATGTGCTGCCCGTCTCGCTCCTCTATTCTGACGGGGAAGTACGTCCACAACCACAACACTTACACTAACAATGAGAACTGCTCTTCTCCATCCTGGCAGGCTCAGCATGAAATACGTACGTTCGCTGTGTACCTCAACAACACAGGATACAGGACAGGTAGGATCAAGACCAGCTCTGTCTGAAAGCTCCCTTAGCCTTCTTAGTAGAGAGGTTAATGTATAATATTTTAGTTTGTACTTGTAATGGACTGGAGCAGTGCAGGATGCTATAGCTTCAATTGTGTGTGTGGGTTGGAGTAAATATAAAAACAAAACCGAAAAGGTTTTTTTAGGGGCTGCAAAGAAGAAAACGTGTGTGCTGTAGGGATAGAATTTCTTGTTACAGGACTAAACACAAGGCATAGCACATGTGAAATATGCCCTGTAATGTGTAGAAAAGCCATGGAAAATAATACGGAAAGGAGTTAGTAATTTGAATTTTCATAAAACAGGTATATGATCAAACTAAGAATTCAAGACAAGGGACTGCCCCTTCTGTGTTTTGGGGCAGAGCAGTCAGCTGGATTGGTTTCTCTGGACAGTCCATTCCCAGAAAGGTGTTTACTCCTCAGTTGTTTTTCATCTTAATCAGCAAAATCAAATGTACTCTTGAGAAACAGATGATCCTCTTTGCATACAGTGCTTCTTATGAATAACAACTGCGTAGAAAGGATTTCAGAAAATACGCAGCACTTGTTTCACACCTATTTCTTTCTCACACTCTGGATGTGAGATTTAGGTTCTTGCTGACTGCAGTGTTTCTGTCACGTTTCTTGCTAATGCATTTTGTCATTGAAAAACTGGCATAAAGCTAGACCTATTCATGTCGTTTATAGTGTATATATATACTGTAGTAGTATAGTTGTTACTGATAGTATACGTTTGTGCATTGAATTTATAGTATGTGAGGCTTGATCATGATGATGCTTCCAGGAAAGAGTATAAATCTTGAACAGTAATTGTAACAAGATCTTTGTCTTTCTAAACGTTCACATGAGTTGTGCATGTCATCACTGTAAAGGCTTAGTCTTAAAACAAATAGGTAATTTCCTTGTTTTGTTTTTTCTAAAATAAAGATCTGAATTAATCTGGAAAGGAATAAAATAGGGGAAGTGTGCATACTTAATGAATTGGTTGCTGTTTCCTTCCATTTATCATTCCTGGCACTAATACCAGTAATCATATGAATACCACACCAAGGTTAATGTTTTATTCTTCACAGATCATTTGTTTTGTGTTTTCTGATATTTGTCTGTTGTAATAATTTTTATATTTAGTGACTATGTTTTGAGCACCTGCAAGTTCTACCAACTTCCACAGCTTTTGCAGGTGTCCTGGTATTCATGTGTTATATTTTTTACATTAAGTTAATATTTACATGTAGTCCCAAGGTCTTTCTGAATCTATTCTATTTTCAGTTAATTCTGTTAATTTGCAAGCCAAATGTGTTGGAACATGCAGAAATAGTACTTTTATAATTAAAAAGCAATCTTCAGGTATAAAGGAGATTTTCATTCATGTAGTTAAACATGATGTATTATAAAAATTTTAATGGGTATTGACATTACTAAATGTTTGTGTTGATTTCTGGTCTCTGATTAAAATTTTGTGTTAACCATTGTGAGGGATCTGTAAGAAGGTATTTCTTTTACCTGTTTTTTTTTTTTTTCAAATATCTGATCAGATTTGCCCGTTTCAGAAACAGTTTCAAAACTAGCCTGCTAAGTAGAATATTTTGGATATTAAGATTACATTCTTTGACATGGCAAGTCCTTGAACATGACTACAGTAAATAAAAGAAGGTGGGGAGAGCACTGGAGTTAATTCATAGATTTTATCTATTTATTTTGAGTTCCATGAGTTTATCTATTTATTTTGAGTTCCACTGGTTTACCCTGAAAACACAGTTTAGCTTCTTTTTTTGAAGAAGAAGAAAAGGAGGCCATGATTGATAAAGTCTTCTCAGGTTTGCTTTTATATTTAAGTTCACAACTCTGGAATGAGAAGGCTGTCATTTTGGGAGAAAGGTTGATTTTGTTTTCTTTCTTAATTCATAAGCCAGGCCTTCTTCCTATATTTCCCTTTTTTCATTTAAACTTAAAAGAAGAAACTGTGCTCTCCTACTCCATTTAAGCTTCCATCATTTTTCCCCCCTTTCTGCCACTTATTTCACATCTTCTTGCCCTTTTCTCTATTCATGGTGATCTCCTTGTTTTGTTCTATCTAAAAAGATGATTCTGCTGTGAGTGTTCTTTCTGCAATGTAATATTTCTCCTGTGGCAGTGGCATTTGTGGTTTGGATCTATATAGACTTGTTCTGCTGCTGGCACCTTTGGGAAATGTGCAGGTGGTGTGCAGGCAGGAGGGATCAGTGTGGTGTGGGATTCTCCTCCACAAGTTGCAAGTAAAAAAATAAGATAATAAATGGAAAAGGTGTGGCTTTTCTGTAAATTGTTCTTAGTTTCAGCCTTGGTTGCCAATTTTATATCATTCAACCTTGGCACTTTACAAAGTTTTATCAACCTTGTTAGGCACTGGACTTTGCAGAATAGAGGTGAAAGTAAGAGGCTGAGCTCAAGGGAATTTCTGTCATTGGCTTTAACAGTCAGGATTTCAGCAATCATGTGCAAGACTCAGTCACTTCATGTGAATCAATTAAAATAAATATTACAAGAAGGCAAAAGGCTAGCTTTTCTTCCTACAAAGGAAGCCATTAAGGCAGTCGGCGTTACAGGTATGTCTTCCTCTGCATTAACCTTTCTCACAATCTTAAAAAATGCCAGTGTTGTGAATAACATCTAAAGGACTGTATTCTCATTATGTAGCCAGTACATGTAGACACCAGATCCTTAATCTCAATACATTAAACAGTCAATCCTTTTTTGAAGAGCTTCTCACATCATTGTCCTACTACATATCATGGAGAATCAGGCAAGAAGGACAATTTATTTAAGTAAACCAAGTCATTTGATGAATTCATCTTCAGAAAAGTCCATGTAAGCAACATCTGAATCATCAGTAACTTAGAAGAGTGATTACTGGCACTTCAGCTTGGAGCAACAGATGATTAGGATGGAAAAGGAGATCCTACAACAAACATTTCTGAACGTGAGAGGATTTCTCTGCCAAAGGTTCCTGTGTAAACATTTAGAACAAAAATGTTCTGTTTTCCAAGAATATACGTAGGTCTTTCTATGAGTCATCTTTTAAAATGCACAAGGCATTGTTGCATGCTTGTTTCCTGCAATAACAAATATGTTATGTTTTATTGGAATACAGATTTAAATTTTCCCTTGGACATTACATAATGAGAAAAGCTTCTCTTTTCCATTTGCCTGGCTGGCCATATGATTAGGTCTTAAAGTTAGCGACTGATTCCAGAATACTTTGTCAGCCTTATCTGCAGTCAGGAAATGAAAATACATACTTACTGTATTAAATTCAACAGAATTAGGGATGGTGGGCCAAATTCATACTGGCAAAAGGACACTCTTGCTTCAGTAACTCTTTTATAAAAAGAGAGCTTTTATTAATTTATGTTAGGGCTTAATGTGACACAGCATGCAGCAAATGCAATACATGTTTTGGCTAACTTACCATCTTCGTTCCTGTTGAGCAGTACCCTACAGTACAGCTAACCCTATTCAATAAATTAACCTGCTAAAGAAGGAAAAAGCTACTTGTTGTGTGGTAATACGTGAACATCTTACTCTGATGGAAAGCTGCACTTGAATTATGCAAAGAATTAATATGTGCCATTTTGCACCATTTGTGTATTTTGAACCTAGAGAAAAGTCATGGCTGGAGGTCTCTCTGCCATAATAAATTTCTTGGGAATAAGAATAATAATCATTCTTACCACTTTCACAGGGCTTTACAGTAATTAACTAATGAATTAATTAAAATTCAGTGACAGTCTTTCATTTCTTCCCTTTAATATTTAGACTAAGATGATACAGTGGTCAACGGCATTCAAATAATTATTTTTTCACTTCACTGTCTGAGTCTGTGACATTTTAAAGTGATTTTAACATTAAATGGTAAAATAGAAGAGAAAAGCTATTGGTAAATGTTTATTAAAGGACAAATGAACATGAAAAGTATGTGACCAGATGTTAATATCTTTATACGTGCCAGGAGAAAAGTACTGATTATCAGTTGGCTGCTGCAGAATTTTCTCTCCATGATAGTTGGATTACAGAAATACTTAAAAGCTTAACTGAAGTTGTTCTCTCTGTATAATTGCTTGGTAGGGAACAACTGGTAAACTGAAGAGTCAAATCGTAAATAGAGAATAGTGAAATACTTTCTGCAAGGTCAGGTGCAGGTAAAGAACAACATTAAGAAGAGATGCAAGTTCTCATTCGCACCCTGATGCCCTAGCCACTGTGCCATGCTGCACTTCTCTGTCATCTTACATGCATATAAAGTAGACAGGTTGTCTAAGTCAGAGTGACATCTATATGCAGGACAGCTGATGAAGAACTGAGGGCCATCTTTTAAAATAATGACTAAGTGAATTAGGAGTCAGGCTTGATTTTTAGATACGGCTTGCATAATTAGGAACTGAAGTGTTAAATATTCACCTCTAATGTATCTAGGTGACTTTAGAAAACTGGATATCAGGCTTCTGAATTATTTAACATGAAGATAAATTGGTTCCCTGAGATCTTCTCTCTGTATATAAACAAAAAGGGCTGTCAAATAATGTCTGTTATGCAGTTTAAGGCCATTAGACGTGAAACAGTGTGAAAGAAAGCTTCAGCCTACTGGATATGTCATGATAGCTGTTACTACAAAGGGAGACCAAGAACCTCTGCTGGAAGGGATGTAAGAAGAGTCCTGATGCATAGCCCCAAACCAATGGCTCTGCCCATGTTACTTCTTCTGTCTGACTTGGTCGTTTGTAGTGAATTATTGAGTTGGAATATCCTGCAAATGTTTTGGAGAGTTACATTTTCAACAAAAGTTATTTCTAAGTTTCCTACCTCGTGTATGTTAAAGACTTTTTTCTCCCAGCTCTAAATTCACGTCTGTGCTATCAGTTGGTTTTGAATCAAGCGCACATACATCTTCTCCCTCTGTTTCTATGAATTGAGTTCAATGCCTCAGTAATTT